CGAATACAATTCGGACCACCCTGTATTGTAATTTTAATTGATGTTTATTAAATATTATTAAGTTCAGAAAATATTATGAGAATTTGGACATCTAATTTAAAAGCAAAATTCTATACGTAAAACTAGTTGTCTAAAGCAATGATGAATGCTAAATTTCGAAAAGAAAAATATTTAACTCACATCTCGATCAGTTTGACCGCCTTGCGCAGGGTCACCCGAGGGATCCGCGTGAAGCACCCTCTGCAGGTCAGCTACCTATAAGCCACAGATCATACAGGGCATTTTGGAAGTATTTATAGCAATATCTTAGATACAATGACGGGTGAACTTTTTTTATAGCTCATATCACTTATAAAAAGAAAGAATAAAACATCCAGTATATAGAAGCCTCCCCAAACACAAAATGAAAAAAATTTATCTGCGGAAATGCATTATTCTCTTTTTTCCGACTTTAGAATAACTGAAATGAGTTACATGAAAACATGTTCTTGGTGTGCATTCTAAACACTTTTCTTTTTAAATACAAAAAAGAAAATTTCTGCAAAAATACGTAATTTTCATAAAATAGTGTTAACTTTAGAATAACTGAAATCAGTTACATCAGAAAACAAATTTTTGTGAATAAACATGAACAAAGTGTCACAATATGACATGGCCAGATTTATTGTTTTAATCACTTGACGTTTAAAGTCATAGGTTACTGGTTAAAATCAAGAAAAATATACGCTTTAAAACTGAATCTTAAATAACTTAAAAACAGTTTGTACGTATAGCGAATTGAAAAGCCTTTTCACTAGTGATATAAAAAAGTGAGTTTTCATTTGAAAAAAAAAAAAAAAGATTTATTATAAATTTTTAATCGCTCATTCCATGACAGCTGCGGATATGACATTCAAATTTAATTTTTGACATAGATAGCCACATGCCTTCCGTTTATGGCACAGTGGCTGTGGTAATCACTAAATTTGACGTTTAGTTTTTTCGTCCAAAAAATTTTTCTTGTGTAGGTACGAACTTAACCTAGTAGATATTGTAATTTAGACATCAATAACCGTACCGAGAAAAAACAAAAATAAACAAAAACGAACCAACAAACCAAACCAAACCAAAGCAATCAAAACACGCTGTAAGCTAAAACGCGCCTGTTTACGAATTCTAATTGATGAGTGCCTTACAGATTTTGCTATATTTTAGAATATTTTATCAATAAATGAATATAATAGACTTCCACAAAAAATGTTTTGCGTGTCTGTTTAGAAAAAAAAATAGAATAAAAAAACAGAAACCTATTTTCAAGTAATTGGTTTCAGCTATTCTAAAGTTGAAAACCTGAAAATTATGCATTTGCGCAGAAAAAACTTCTATTCTGACTTTTCTATTCAAAAAGGCTGCCAAATAGTAAATAAACAAATATTTCTTACATCACTGAACATAACTTTCACCTAAACTAAAGTAGCCCTGATTTCAGCAATTCTAAAGTTGAAAAAATGAAAATGATGCATTTCCATAAAAAGAAATTGTGACATACTATTCAAAAAGGCTTCCAAAAACTAAATACTTCCTACATAACTGATTTCAGCTAAATAAAAGAAGCCCCGATTTCAGCTATTCTAAAATTGAAAAACTCAAAAAAGATGCATTTCCGCAGAAATGCTTTTTGTGACATAATATTCGCAAAGGTTTCCAAATACTAAATAAACAAATATTCTTTACATAACTGATAGCAGCTAAACAAAAGTTAAGTCGAAATGATTAATATATATCAATTAAAACGCATTAAATGTAACTAAGTCATTATGTGGCATGACAAATAAATGCTAATCATAATCTAACAAATCGTGACAAACAAATTATTCGAAAATACCCTGTAACAGAATCTTTGTATTTTAAAATACTGCGTTAATTGCGCATCACCAGTGCATCTACGATCTAACAACAACTTACAATTAAAAAATAAAGTTTCAAAATATTTTTTAATTATTTTAGATTAAAATCCTAATAATTCCACAAATTATCTAGAATGCACTTTTGGCAAAAAATAGTTGGGCATTTTAAATATAAATGCTTCGTATTATATTCTATCCTAAATTATGATATACTTTAAATGATTAATGTGTCTTAGAATTTAAGAAAGCTTGGGACAATATATTTAATAATTTACTTTTAATAAAAATAAATAAAGTACTTTACAGATAGAGAATTATGTTTCAGTTATCATGTTAACAGTTCCTTATATAATAAAATAACTAGAATTTTGTTTCATTAAAATAAAACGGTCTTTCATATACTAAAAAGTTATGCATCAAAGTCAAAATGTATTCCCCTTAATTACAAGGGTTCTACAACAGAGTTTCCTCAAAAGTTATACAATAATTTAATAATAACTTAACAACAAGTTTAAATAAACGCTTTTCTAAATTTATTCGGTTCAGAGGCATCTATCAGGAAATTTATTGAGTTTAAAACAAGTTCAGCAGGAAATTTCTGGAAAATTAAGAGCAAATTAAAAACCGCCTACAAACGAATGTAGTTACTGAAAAATAATTAGTTTAAAACATTGCAATCATTTATTGCCTTTTCGCTGAACTCTTTTGATTTTAGTTAGAGGCGATGCTGTTTCTATAATTTTTATTCGTATTTATTTTGTAGACGTAATTACTTAATAAATTAAACTGCAAACATATAAATAAAGAGTTCATTATTATTAGTATAGCAAGATTCTTCTTTATAGTGAATCTTTTTGTATTACACTCAGATGCAAAAAAACGCAACGGGGAATTTTTTCCTCAAATTTAAAAAAAAATATTTTTCTTATTTTTAGCCCAATTTTCATGATTTTTTTTAACAAACTGTATAAAAATGTATTAACTTTAATTCGTTAAGTCAGTTTTTTATAAACTTTAGTATTGGGCTTTATTATACAGGGTTTATCGAATAGTTGTTTTTTGTCTTACCTTTAAAACACCCTGTGCACTAATTTCGTGAGCGAATTTTCCTAAAACATTATTTTTCTGTCAGAACCATCGCTCATGAGCATTTTTGTCTCATGACAACACATGTCTTGGTTAATTTTTAAGAGCGAAATGAACTTGCCACCAACAATTTGCAATTTTTTCAAATATTTTTTGGGGGGAAATTAAAATACCTTATCTATAAGGGAAGAACCATTGGGACGAGAGAAGAATTGCAGAAGATTACTAGGCAAACTTTTGGACTTCTTACATTAGTTCGCTTAATAAATCGTTGTAACTCTGCACAAAAGATGTTTATTGTGTATTCAACAAGGAGGTTCTCTTCATCAACATCTTTGATTTTCATTTTTGAGGTTCTCAACATCTTTGATTTTTTTTTAGAAAACTATATTCGTCATACAAAAAATACGTTTTTTTAGTTTTGTTCTTTGTTTGTTGTATCGATTTCAATTGTAATTACTAATACTAATATAGAATGTTAATTTACCGTTCCAAAAGTCTTTAATTATGCAGATAAATATTAAATAATATTAAATTGTGATAAAAAAATAATTAGGCACATAGGTCAACACAAAATCAAGTGCCGCTTCGATATAAAGATAAAAAACCTAATATTTCTCTCATTCTTAGAAATAGATACCCCTAACTTTATATCGTTGAAAATGGTAAAACGCCAGCATTTTTTTAAGTTCATAGCCAACTATGATTTCCATTTAAAAAAATATATTTTTCATTATTTGTGATAAAAAGAGCAAGCATAGCAAAAAACTGACTACGCCACTGGATTGTGCTTAAAAAAGTGCCTAAAGAATGTTTTTACAGTATTTTATTATTCCGCAAAATTATTTTTTATGTTATTTTTAATATGCCGAGGTGACTTTTTTGACCATTGTCGTAATATCATATTATGCTGCATTGGATACTCTATACCAAATTAAAAAAAAACGTTAAAGAGTAACAATACAATTCTGATTTTAATAAACATTAATAACGATAATAGAATATAGAGAAAACATCTGTAATCATCAAGTATACAAACAGAAAAAAAATTGTAAAAAATACACTAATACTTTGTATTTCCTCCATTGGCTGCTATAACTGCCTGTAGATGTCCGTTCATACTGTCAGTGAGGCTGTGATATTATATTACGTTATGTTTTCCCATTCTTCTTTAAGGACCAAGCGAAGTTCATTTAATGAAGCTGGTGCCGCTTCGCGACCTCTGACCTTCCTGTCGAGCATTTCCCAAATGTGTTATAGGGTTCAGATTTATCGAACATGCTCGACAGTTCACAATGACCACTAAAGCTATCTGGTCATATTAAAAAATAACATCAAAAAGGTAAACTAATTGAGAAAATTGCAAATTGTAGGTGGCAAGTTCATTCCGCTCTTAAAAATTATCTAAGGCATGTATTAACATGATCTAAAAAGCAAAATGCTCAGGAGACATGGTTTTGACCGAAAAATAATGTTTTAGGAAAATCTGCTGACGAAATTATTGCACAGAGTGTTTCAAAGTTACGGTAAAAACAACCCTTCGATTAACACTGTATAATAAGCAAAATCCTAAAATTTATAAAAAAAATAATTTACGTATTAAAGTTGATATATTTATATGTAGTTTGCTTGAAAATTCATGAAAATAGGACTAAAAATATAACACTCTAAATTTGACGAAAAAAAATTTCCGTTGCGTTTTTTTGCATCTGAGTGTAGTTTGCAGTTTCCTTTTTTATGTTACTTCAGGGCACTTATGAGTTTGTATTACAATAAACTGGCAACATAAAATAACAAAGATAATAATGAACTTAAACTGGAAAAGAGATATTAATTGTTGTTTCATATAATCTGTTAAATATATATTGTCCCAATTTCTTCAAAATAATATTTGAAACAATAATGACAACAACATAAAAAATAATGGTGTGGTGGTGAGTGATGAAACTTACCGATAATATTGCTACTCACTCTACGTTATTTCATATTGTGTTATTTTCCGATTTAGTTGTTAGGTTGTACACTTACCGCATCCTAAAAATGTAAACGACACCATCATGCATTTTTAGAACATCTACTTAAAGGTAAAATTGTTTATAATTAATAATATTAATTAGCAATTAAAGCATTCGATGCATCATACTAATACTAACTAAAACTACTGCAGTATATTAAACTTAAAATAGCGCAACGTATTTTTAGCGCTATATTTTTACCGCAACCCATACAAATTTCGTCGAAAATAATAAAAAATCGATAGTTTTATTTCAGAAGGACGAAGTTAATTCTTCAACATCTGAAAGGAAAGTAATGTTACTTGTATTTCATTAAAAATGTTATCAAAATTAGTTATAATCTGCCTACAAACCAACATTATAAACAGACTCCAGATCCTATATTATGAGCTTGTCATTTCACTGCTAAGGATACATAGCAGTCAAGCGACAAGCTAAGTTTGTAAGTCTAGTGTGTTATACGTAATATTATATACAAGCTGGTGCCTCTCATTACGACACGGAGGCTCCAAGAAGAACGACAATTTCTACTGAAATAAAATTTTGTGGGCATATTATGTAGGTTAATTTGGAGCATTTTATAAAAATTTTATTCTTAAAAGTTACACAGATAAGTTGTGTTTTTTGTAATAAAACACCCTATATATTAAATTATTTTCGGATTCTAGGAGAAAAATAAAGGTGTTCATTAGAGAAGTTTCATTAGAGAAGTATGACTAAAATGTAAGGTGTTTGACATATTTAACATTTTCTTAAAATGTAGAACAAATTTTAAATTTCAATAAAACCTAATAAAACCTACCTAAATTGGAATTTACCCGGTATTACTGAATATGTAGTTAAAAGAACTATTGTACTTTAAATCAAATTAAAATTTGACCCAAAAAGTTATACAGAGTGAGACAAAATTAATATTAAACATTGGTTACACCTTAAAAAGCAATTTATTCTTTTATTTTAAATGACAGCCTGTATATTATTCCGATATTCAATGGGGAATTCATATATCTTCAAAATATTATTAAGGTTGCCTACCCCTCAAACAAAGATTTTCCTAGATATTTTCATTTTTATGATTGCGTCAGTAGATCTTTATTACTTGATAAAATCTAGGTGGCTGTGATATGACTGGCATTACCTCAACATAGCTGTCAAATTAGTTCAACTTTAACAACTAGTTATCATTTTGCGTCAGTTTGGGCAGTTGAGCATTTGATTTAATCTAGCTAATTTTTGTCACATAATTTTACTTTTATATCTAGTTTTAATTCTGTAATAATTAAAATAATATTAAACGCGTACTTTTTTATTACCGTTGAGAATTTTACTGTATATCCTTTAATTTTTATTGAATTAACAAATGGTGTATCACAGCCGCCCAGATTATAATAAAAAATACCTACTGATGCAAAATTATAAAAATGAAAATATCTAGGAAAATCTTTGTCTGAGGGTTAGGCAACCTTAACATTTTGAAGATATATGAATACCGTAATCGAATACCGTAATAATATACTGGTGTTCCATTTAAAGTAAAGGAGTAACATGCTTTAAAAGCGGCCAATATTCAATATTAATTTTGTCTCACCCTGTATAACTTTTCGGGTCAAATTTTCATTAGGTTTAATATATAATGATTGCTATTATTAAATATCAAGCTATACAAGGAAAATTACAGTTTAGGTAACTGTTATTGAAATTTCAAATTTATTCTTTATTTTCACAAAACATGAAATACGTAAAAATCCTTACATGTTAGCCATATGCTTCTTTACTGAAACGCATTTTTATTTTTTTTCTAGAATCCGAAAATCAATTAATATATAGGGTGTTCCATTATAAAAAAAACTATGATGCGTAACTTTTTTTGGGGATACTCGTATATTTCTATAAAATGCTTTCAATTAATCTCCTAAAATTTTATTTTGATATAAACTACCGTTCCTTTTGGAGCCTCCTCGTCATATGAGAGACTTGATAGATACTTGATTGTATTTGAGACTTGATTGTCGTATAAGAAAACTTGAAAAATGAAGATATTATTTTTGTTGGTCTGTGGACAGTTTTTCATTATCTACACGGTGTTCGCCAGTATTACCTACTAATTTGAAACAAAAAGACGTTTACCTATAGACTTGAGGGGTACATAGTACATATTTATAGATTTAAATAAAACACCTACGAAAAATTTATTAAAAAAATCGCTTTTGAATCTGATAATGGGACGATACTTGAATTTATAAAATATAAAGGTTGTTCGATACCTTCATGCTTAAACTAAAAATAAAGTTTTGTAGCATTCAATTAATAATACATACATAACAATAAATGAGAAAAAAGTCAGAAAAATCATGCGGTGCATAATAATTTTTAGATTCAGATTAATAATATGTGCATAAATAATTGTGAAGTGTGAGTATCCTTCATATACATATTACGAATGAAACTCTCAAAATTCATTTTAATAACAATTTGCATTTGAGAAACTTTTACTTTATCGATTAAATGTATGAAACTTTTATCTACAAATAATTAAGTTTCTCGGTTTTGAATATTTATTTTTAAAATACGGTGCATATAATGTGCTTGTGCTTTTAAATAAAAAAATATTGTGCTGAACAATTATTTGTTTGATTTTTTAAAACTAGCTTGTGGTATATTTCAATCACGAAACATCGAAATAGTATTCGATAAGTCAATAATATATATTAAAAAATATATAAGAACCACACAAATATTCAATGCTAATTTTCCAAATATTTGCGATATAATACCGCTCAGATTGGGCAGGGGCGTTTGACAATATACCTCACAAGGTGGTCAAGCGATCTCTTGAAACAAGAGGGGTGAACAGTACGATAATTCGCTGGTTTTGGGAAATGCTTTTAACACGAACAGCAGATGCTGAGATAGGTACCAAAATTGTAGTTGTTAAAACAACGCAAGGAACTCCACAATGTGGAGTGACCTCCCCCCTACTGTGGAGCTTGGTAGTGGATGAACTACTGGAAGAATTAACTCTAGCGGGAATACACTGCATATAGTACGCAGATGACATAGTCATCATTGCACGGGGGAAACATGAAGGCACCCTGTGTGATATTATTCAAAGAGGACTCCGCATCGCTGAGAGATGGTGCAGGACTGTCGGGCTGAGTATTAACTCAGATAAAACCGCAGTAGTGTCATTCACCAGAAAGTGAAGTTTAAAAAACTTGAAAAGAATCCATCTAGATGGAAAGGAAATACTGCCATCACAGGAAGTGAAATATCTGGGAATAACCCTGGATAGTAAACTTCTCTGGAACAGGCATATTAAGAACATTACCAGCAAAGCCACAAAGGCTCTCATGATATGCACAAGACTGGCGGGAAATAGGTGGGGCTGCGTCCCTAACATTTTGCGCTGGATGTATACCATGACAGTAAGACCCATGATTACTTATGGAGCAGTTGCTTGGTATACAAAACTAGAGCAACGTACAGCAAGGCAAAACCTGTGCAAAGTACAGAAACTGGCATGTATCTGCATCACAGGTGCCATGAGAACATGTCCAACAGCAGCAATGGAGGTCATTCTAGACCTAACACCACTGCACATTGTCGTCGGTAGTTATGCCAATGCGACAATGATTAGAATGGTTACTGACGGAAACAGTACTGGGAGAATATTCAGGTCAGGGGCTTGGAACACCCTCAAAAAGAAAATTCCACTTCTCCAACTCCCAGTGGATGACATACCAATAATTTACAACTTTGAGAAACACCTCACTGTAGTATTGAGTAATAAAAAGGATTGGAAGAAAGAAACGCTTACTCAGCATATAAAAGACCATACCATTACGTGGTATACTGATGCCTCCAAAACCAAAGCAGGGACAGGGATAGGAGTATTTGGGCCGAAAACTGAATACTCCGAACCAATGGGCACCTACCCCAGTATCCTTCAGGCTGAAATTTGCGCTATCGAAAGATGCGTACAATTTATCTTAGATAGGAACTATCGAAAACAGGAAATTGCCATCCTATCCGATAGTCAAGCAGCACTTAACGCGATCAACTCAGTAACCATCAATTCGATGTTGGTCAAAGAATGCCTAGAGAAGCTCAACAAATTAGGTAAAGAAAATAAAGTCCTCTTACTCTGGGTGCCTGCTCACCAAGGGATAGAAGGCAATGAAAAAGCAAATGATCTAGCTAGAAAAGGAGCGAACACTCCACTAACTGGACCAGAACCGTTCTGTTTTCCAAACGGGAACCAACTGAAAGCGGAACTGAAGAATTTGGAAGACTCCATCCGTAACTTGGATGGGTGTCCTCCAACGGTCTAGGACACTCGAAAAAGTTCCTTAGAACTTATGATCGAGAAAAATCAAAGGTTTTCCTTGATTTAAGTAAAAACAATCTTCGGATTGTCACGGGGTTTCTAACAGGACACTGTCTCCTCAACGAACACCTCAGTAGGCTGAAACTGAGAAACAACGGCGAATGCAGATTTTGTGGGGAAAATGGGGAAACACCAGAACACCTAATCACTGAGTGCGCCGAGACGACGACCATTCGACACCACCTTGGCACGTCTGATGTCGAGGATGGAGAGCTGGCCTCTGTGGAGCCGTCTCAGATACTGGCTTTTCTTAAAGCCCTGAGACTGTATGATGAGTATAACTCGTTATAACTCAAGAAAGGGGAACACACAGTAGATCTATAAGGTCGCGGTGATTAACTCCCCTCCTAAACATTCTACTTCTACCACTCAGATACAAAAAAAACGCAACAGAAACATTTTTGGTCAAATTTAAAATGTAATTTATTTTTAGCCCTATTTCCTTGATATTTTTAAACTGTATATAAATATATCAACTTTAATTCGTAAAGTTAATTTATTATAAATATTAGGATTTACCGTATTATAAAGGGTTAATCGAAGAGCTGTTTTTTTATCTTATATTTAAAACACCCTGTGCAATAATTTCGTTAGCGAATTTTCCTAAAACATTATTTTTCGGTCAGAACCATGTCTCCACAGTATTTTGCTTTTTGACTCATGTCAACACATGCGTTGATTAATTTTTAAGAGCAAAATGAACTTGCCACAAACAATTTGCAATTTTTCTAAATTATCGCTACGTTTTGATGTTATTCTTATTGTGAAAAAATTGCATATTGTTGGTGGCAAGTTCATTTCGCTCTTAATAACTAAACAAGGCATGTGTTGACATGAATCAAGAAACAAAATGCTGAGGAGACACAATTTTGATCGAAAAATAATGTTTTAGGAAAAGTTATTCATAAAATTATTGCACAGAGAGTTTTAAAGTTAGGGTACAAAAAGCCTTTAATTAACCATGTATAACAAGCCAAATACTAAGAGTTTATGAGTTAAATTCGATAGATTTATATACAGTTTGCTAAAAAAAATCATGAAAATAGGGCTAAACGTAAAAAAATATAAAACTTTAAACTTTAAACTAAACGAAAAAATTTTCCGTTGCGTTTTTTGCTTCTGAGTGCATTTAAACATTAACAAAAGTCCTTATAAAAAAAAATTAAAAAAACATATTTATGTTGCAGTTTGAAAATCGAACATGTTTTGTATAAAAATTAACTTAAATGTGATTCTTAAAATCTATAGAATAGATGTTACAAAACATTTATTTATCCGTATCTTTTCCATTCAGGTAAAAATATATAATTATTGTGTTACTGTAACAACTCAAGTCTCTCTTTATTCAAAATGGTAATGACATCTGCCCAAATCAACAGATTAGAATAATCCTTGAATAATCTGTATTTAGAGGCAGACATAAACAATAGGGTCCATAATCTGTTTTGGAGTTCGCACTACTATATATTTTTCGCAGCCCTTCTATTAATGACACGAACTTTCTTATGCTTATAAAAATAAGAAGTTAAATATATAAAATGTAAAATATCCGCATATTAAATTTATATTTAAACTTTAATCGGTATATTAAAACAATTAGAAGTGCGAACAAAAGAAAATAAAATATATAAATATCAACAATGTTTTCCGTCATGATGCAATTTATATCTGCATTCTTTCGGTCAATTAAGTTCATTTTTACGCAGCAAGTAATATTTATTATAGTGCCATACCAGCATGCAGTAAGTGCGACATCTATACCTGCTGCGTAAATAATAACTAATAATAATAAGTATAAAAAAATATATGCTCTTCATATTTCTAGATGACCATACACATTTTACCATAATACACCAAAACAAAATACTATCACTATGAACAAACATGTCGCAAATAATGATGTTCGTACCTTTATCTGATAATACTGACATCTAAAGCCGTAAAAATTTATAGTGTAGGAAAATTGTGCATTTTTCTATTATCTACTAATAATAAAACTACTAAAATTATTATGATTAAAGCCAACTTACAATTCAGATTTTTTTAGATAATTTATTCATCACATTAGTATACGTTTCTCGTATATGAGTAAACAAGTCGTATACGATTTAATATGTGCAAATGAAAGCTGGTATGTATGTCATAAGGAGTTAAATTTAATGAAATTTTAAGCATATATTTTCTTACACTGATCTAGATGCAAAAGATAAACAAAGAAAATATGCATTCAAATTTATATCAATAAAAAATATAATCTTTAAATTATTCATATGTACACTTTCAAGATTTTTAGCTATTTTTAGAACAAGATACAACATAAAACTGTTACCTGGTTAACCCATTTAGATAGTATATTAAATTTTAAAACTTTTTACTTTAAACCTATATAAAACAATCAAAAATGATTTCAAAACGTGTTTTTTAAAATCTGTGATTTGAAAAAACTATATCGATAAATTTCAATTTATTATAAAATTATATAAAAAGGCAGAAGCCAATAACGGGTGGCCACTTGCCTATACCGAGTGTTAACAGACAGGTTGTACAAACCATATCGATTTGATTTTATGATTTTCATAATGAATTGCTGAAAACTTGGTTTCAAAACACAGTTGGACAAAATTTAAATATTAGTTCCGATTTAAACCAAAGTGGGATTATGTAATTCTAACTGACAGTATGTATATTGTGTTACATATTTGAATAGAGTTTAAAATTCCATTTTTAATGACATGCTCAAAGATGGTGTTTTTAGAGACGTTTTCCAAAATCAATATGATATAGAAATACAAACCATAAGAGATTTTCATTCGTAAAACCTCTTACGAGGGGTAGGGGAGTCAAAACCTCACAATTTTTTGAAAAAAATGGGGCAACATATTTCGGGAATCAGTTACTTCCCATCATGGGGCTCAAAAAGACAAAAGTAACGCCAAAAAGCCATACCAACTCCGAAAAAATAAGGTAATTATATTATAGATTTTCATTACAAAACTGTACTCGTTGTAATTGCTATTAAACCACTTAAAAAAAATTGTTGCATTTATCAATAAAAGTTTATACCATAGTTTTCAACACAGTCTTAAAATCATTTTTTCATTTAATATTTTTAATTTTTCTCCATCAAAGACTGGCGCTGTGATACTGTTAATGTAAATTTGTATTAACAATGTAAAAAATTTATTAACAGTATCACTGAGGTAAATGCTTTTTCTATGATATTGAGGGGAGTGAAAAACTTCTTCTGATAGGTAGCCCAAGGCGTATTTCAAACTAATATCATGTGTACTCCCCTAGAAAATCATAACAACGCTATAACGATTGGAGAAGAACACTTGGAATATGGAGCGGAATTCAATTACCTCGGCAGTTTGATTTCGGAAAAGGCCAATATCGACTCTGAATTTCAGCAACAGAATTAGCAGCACTTCAAAAACAGCCTGGAAACTAAAAGACATGGTTTTTTACAATCATGACTTGAGCACAAAAACTAAACTTGCAGTGTACCGAGCAATAATAATCCCCACCATGTTATATGGAAGCGAAATCTGGATAACGTATCGCCGCCACATGAACGCAATAAACAAGTTGCAACAGAGACACCTTAGACAACACTACTTAAGAATCAAATGGTTCCAGCATGTCTCAAACGTATCGGTCCTTGAAAAAGCTAGCTGCGAGACCGTTGAAGTCATGATTAAAAAATACCGCTTAATATGGGCTGGTCACGTATGCAGGATGCAAGAAAACCGCCTACCGAAATCTCTTTTTTACGGTGAGCTAGTAGACGGTAAGAGGAAACCGGGTGGGTAACTCAAAAAGTACAGGAATATTTTCCATAAAAACTTAAAGGGGATAAGCATGCGGAATCAGTGGGACGAAGCAGCGCACAATAGAATGCAATGGAAAATAATTGTAAACTCAGTTAACAACGACAACCATAAAATCAAGAAACAACAAAGCACTGAAAATTTAAAATGTCCGGAGTGCGGAAGGTAGTCACAGTTTCTTCAGTCACAGAAAAGCTCATAAAAGAAAACGCCTTGCGTAACCATCTTCTGATGCGTGTCAAATACTTGCCAGCGGAATAAAATACATATACGTTAACTTATGATACATCATAAAATACAGAATCAAGCTCTATGTAAATATGTAAGGAAATATACAAAATATCATTTAAAATTCGTAGCTTAGATTCGTTGGCTTTAGCTGTATATTAATAGAAAACGCGTGTGTTCTGATGAAATATCTTTCGAGAACTTAAGTTTTAAATTATTTCGATAAAAACCAATCAAATGGAAATTTGTTATCTGGTATATTTTAACGATTCCCTATCAAACATATTTTTTTTCTAATATTATCTACTTAGTCTGAACAATTTGAATGCAAATTTTCTTTATTTATCCTTGCTCCAATCACTCTCGCCTCCATTTCAACTACTCTAACCTCACTCTCCTGTATCGCTTACCTTTCTCGTCGTGGTCGTTTTCATGTCCGGCTGCAGCGCCATGTTGCTGAACGGCACCTCCATCGAGTACTTGATCGAGTGCAGCAGCTGCACCACCACGTTGCTGACGTTCTTGAAGCTGAGCTTCCTTCGCTGCGCAGCGCCCAGCGCCGACCGCACCTGGAGCGTGTTGAACAACAATGGCTGGAAGAACGGCAACGGGGGCCGGAGAGGGGCGGGGGTTAGTCACAAAGGGGTTAGTTACACGGGGAGTACTGCGTGGTGGTGTGGTGTCGGTAGGGTGTGGAAAGAGGTAAGAGAATGTCGAATGGTCTCAAAAAAGTAAGAAGGATACAGTAGATATATTATAAATAGGAGGGCAATGAAATGTCCAGTGAAAAAAGATAGGTGTACAGGGTGGGCCAAATTGGACGCTTATATAGGGAAACACCCTTTTCTATAGGAGATAGACAAAAACTAATATCGATGTCTGGAGCTCAATTTTTGTCAAAAACATGATGGTGAAAACCGCACATCGATATCTATTACTGTTTCGGAATTACGGAATGTTTTTCAAAAATGTGCATTTTATAACAAATTGCTGTAATTTTTTTGCTATGGAAAATTCTGTATTTTTATGAAAACGTTTCCAAAGCACATTTTTACGTAGAATTTAATGGTTCAAGTATAATATTTTTTTAAAATAATAATTTAAGAATTATCAACAGAAATTCTGATTTTTTATATGGGACACCCTGTATATTTTTAATTCATTGAAAATAATTTAAAATTACCTTTTCAAAAGTATAACACACTTGATATTTTGCTCGATTTCTCTTTGAGATAGAGAGTTTATAAGAATTCGCCCATTTTGAATAAGTAGTTTTTGAACGGCGCCGACTGTAATGCAAAAAAAATCTAGTTGTGAGCAGCAATTAAAACGAAAATAATATTTGCAATGAGAGATGCAGGATTTTATAACAATTTAAACTATATTTAACAACAATAAAAATAAATAGCAAATCTAGACATGAGATTTTGCTACAGATGTTCGACATATTTTTGAACTTGATTTTCGATAAGTTTTTGAACATTTCTCGCGGAATTTATAAACTCAGTGGGGGTGAAAGATACCCTCGCATAACGCTAAGTACTTCTAATTCTAGTCTAGATTATATGGGCAATTTAAAAATAAGAACCTTCTTCCGCAAAGATAAAAATCCATAGACACTCGGTCCAAAGTCCGGCTGCCTCGACGGCCAACGGCTAAGATCTTGTTCAGCTATTAATTTTAGCTTAATTATTCTCGAAATTGGTTGCAAAAATTTACTGATAACTTCAGCGTTCTGAAGCTGAGCCTCGTCTTGCTGGAAAAATATGTTTTCGAGTTCCATTAGGGCAGATCATCAATAAGGGGTCCAAAGCCTAATAGTTAAAAGTGGCAAACTTTTAAAAATGCTGAATTTCGAAAGGGTCTATAACAAAATATCAAGTGTGCTATATATATTTTTTTTTTGGATATATTTGGAATGTAATTTTAAGTTATTTTCATAATTAAAAATATATAGGGTGTCCCAAATCGTTAAATAACTAACCCAACCTAAATAAAAAATCAATTTTTCTGTTTTGATAACTCTTAAAATATTAATTTAAAAAAAAATATACTTAAAGCATTAAATTCTACGTAAAAAGGTGATTTGGAAATGTTTTAAAAAAAAAATACAATATTTTTCATAGCAAAAAAAGTTATAGTGATTTGTTAAAAATGCACATTTTTGAAAAACAACCCGTAACTCCGAAACGGTAACAGATATCGATGTGCGGTTTTCACCATCATGTTTTTGATAAAAATTGAGCTCCAGGCCCCGATATTAGTTTTCGTCTATCTGCTATAGAAAAGGGTGTTTCCCTTTAAAAGCGTCCAATTTGAGCCACCCTGTACTTTTTATTTCTTAAAGAATCCATAATTGTTTCTTCTCTAAATTTCTGAATTAAATATTGCAAAATTATTGCAGTTAAGTTTGATGTTACGGCCAGAATATTAAATTCTATTAAATGAGCTCTATTTAATTACAACAGACCACTACGATATTCTCTCGTGTGCCCTGTGCTACGTGAAGGAAATAAAGTTTTCGGTAAGTGTGCTTTATGTGTTGGTACGTCTTTTTAAGGTTTAAATGTTTTTTAAGTTATAAAGAAATACAAAGTAATGGGAGCATAAAATACAGGGTGTCCCAGAAATAAGTGCAAGTATTTCATAAAAGAAAGATACTTTCTCTTTATCGTTTTTCAAATAAGTCCAAAATAATGGAGTTATATATAGAAATTTTCCAAAAAAAAAAAAATTTTTTACTAAAATGTTGAGAACCACTGGATCTTTTCTGGAATTTCTTTCTTGTAAATTTAATCTACTACCTATGTTGCCATATTATCAAAAAATTATGTTTCGTAACTAAAAACTAAAAATCCAGCCAATTTTTTTTATGCGTGTTTCTGGGGTTGAATTATACTCCTAGTTAAAATACTTGCACTTATTTCTGGAACACCCTGTATAAGGAATATTATATTAAATTTATTTTCCAAACGATGCCGATGCTCGCTTTTGTTTTTGGGTGAATTTGGTTAATATTCAAGTTTAAGTATTGTCATTTTCAAACGTTTTCGATAAATAAGCAGGCTATGGAAACAATTTTTGGCATTTGAACTTTACGCAATACTCATGAATATATTTACTGATTAAAATTATGCTTTTAGAATAATATTTTTTCCAAGTAACATGATTACAGTTGAGGATTACAGTTGAGGGTTGGAACCTTTGGTGTTAAACAGCAAAATAAAAACACTAAATCACCACAATACACCAAAAACATTTTTACTTTTACACTGGACGCGCGTTTCGCTAACCATGTTAGCATCATCAGCAGATGATTATAAACTGGTTATATACTTAGTTTATAATCATCTGCTGATGATGCTAACATGGTTAGCAAAACGCGCGTCCAGTGTAAAAGTAAAAGTATTTTTGATGTATTGTGGTGATTTAGTGTTTTTACGTAACATGAGTAAATTTATTATTGCTTAATTTGTCTTAGCTTTTATTCAGTTAATTTGCTTTCAATTATTCCAATCAGATTCAAATCTAGAATGCCACTTTAATATACCTATATGAGACCATGATATTGCTCATATACTGCATGAGCAGAAACATGGAGACTAACTGAGAAATATAAGAAGGTAGAGGCCGTAGAAATGGATGCCATTCGAAGATCAATGGGAGTTTCCAGACAACAACGAATAAGAAATAATACCATAAAACAACAAATGAGTATAGATGGCACAATAATACAGGATATAGAGAGAAAGCAGCTGATTTGGTACGAACATATAAGAAAGAATACAAGTTGGCGTAAGAAAATAATAAATTGGCAACCAAAGGGCAGAAGAAAGGAAAGACCGAAACTGGAATGGCAAAAAAAGCTTACACAAAGCGATGAGTGAAAGAAACATGTCAACAGAGGATTGTGCGAATTATAAATCTGTAACAAATACATTTCTGTTCATTACTCATTCAGCTTATTGTGCTTAGTGTATATTATAACTTCAACTTATTCAGCAGATATATAGTCTGTGAAACGAATAACTTTGAATTTGACAGCTCCCGCGGGCTTTTCTAGTGTTAATTTTATTAGGTTAGCAACTTGCGGCCATGCTGACGCAATGCCGTATCTAATAGAACAGCCTCGGAGCGAGATTTATGACGTCACGCTAGTTAGATACTACGGGTTAATAAATATGTTATAGAATACACATGGAAAACATAATTATTCCTCGTATTTTTGGTTACATTAATTATGGCTGAAATCGTACTCCATAGTCAATGTAGATAGTTTTAGTGTTAAGAATAATAATTTTAAAAAATATGTGGTCATCTTTTAACAAGTTTACATTAATTTATTAATTGCAGTAAACGTTATGTGGTGTTAGGTTAGGTTGTGAATATCTTATATGTAATTTTTTGGATTATATTCGACACTATTTTTTTCATATGACACAACACTGATGAAGGCTATAATGTTAGCCGAAACGTTTTTTTAAACCAAAAAAAAATAATGAAAAACCAAATGAAAACTAAATCAGCGTTTTTCCCGAACCTAAATCCCAAAAAAATCAAAAATTTTAGAATAATTTTACATATAAAATGACAGCGATCTTTATTTTATAGCCATCGCTGACGCCTTTTTTATGATATTGTATTATTTGCAAATATAATTTTTCGAACATTGATACTTGCAAAATATACATATAAATTTTGTGAATGAAATAATAATACATCACTATTAGTCGATATTGAATGTTTTTTTGTTAAATTAGATCGATTTTCAAACCCCAAAACTTATAATATATTTTACATTTTACCCATCATCTTATGTACATATTCATTATATGTATATTGTAAAACATTTGCTGCATTTGTATGGTCCATAGTTTATTTGCCAAAGTATTTATTGCTGTAAATAGGTATATATATATATATATATATATATATATATATATATATATATATATATATATATATATATATATATATATATATTGTATTTATTAACTGTATATTATGTATATTTCATGTAAACTATATAATTTTTAAAATACAAACCAAAAAATACGAGGATTAATTATGTTTTCCATGTATTCTACAACATATTTATTAATCCGTAGTATCTAACTAGCGTGACGTCATAAATCTCGCCCCAAGGCTGTTACATTAGAGACGGCATTGGTCTGATATTTAGAAATGTTAAAAGCTGATGACATTTTACTTTTGACAATTATTACATTTTGTGTTGATTTTTGCAAGAAAAGGAAGAACTGTCACTTGTTTTATTATGTTCCTTTTCTATTTCACGAAAGTAAAAAGAGTTACCTATCTGATTCGTTCAGGCACTCAATTTAAAGAATATCAGTAACTTTTTTGATTGAGAGATTTTATATTTGCCATGTTGGTAAAAAATAACGGTCAAAATTCAAAGTTATTCATTTTATAGACTATAGCAGCTATTATACATAGATATGTTCAATAAAACCAAATCTAACACAGGATTAAGGAAGCAGTAAAAGTCTGCGTAATAAAATTTGTTTATCAATCGATGTCTCCCATGTAATGGCAATACGTCGACGGCATCCTCTTTAAGAGATAAACAAAA